GGACTAGGAATGGATCTACCAGACGTCGGGAAATTCCTCACGGTCAACGGCTTCATCACTCTTTTTGTCCAGGGCTTCATCTTCCCTATCTTTGTCGAATGGGCTGGTGTCTGGAACTCATTCATCTGGATGATTATTCTTTACCCGATCACTTACCTGATTGTGCCCTTCATCAGCGCCTTTCCCCATGAGCTCGAGACCCCGGGTATCTACCTTTCGCTTTTCCTGCAGGCATTCTTCGGTATCATCGTGTTCCCATGCGCCCTGATCCTGATGAAGAATGCCGTTCCATCGCCCCTCGTCCTTGGTCGTGTCAATGGTATCGCTATGTCGGCCTGCTGTCTGGCGAGAACAATTTCCTCACCTCTTATCGGATTGATCTACTCCCTCGGAGGATCCGCGGCAGCCTGGTTCGCCCTTGCTGCTGCTGCCATCTTTGGCATGGTCCAATTATTCTGGGTTCCCAAAGAGGATGTTGGTGCCGTTCAAATCGACAATGGTCTTAAGAAGGTTATGCATCATGACATGGACGAGGACGCAGTAGACGACATTTCCATCATCGAGTCAGTCCGATAATAGAGCTCAAGAAGATAACGAAAGCATTGTGCGAAAAGCGGTGGATTATGGAGTAATATTTTTCTAGACGTCTTGGTATTCGGCGTTGCATGTTCATCCGGCGTTTATGGCTTGCCTCGATGTGCTTACATCTTGAGCGCTCATTTTCTATGTTCTTTACGGATGCGAGCATCTGAGCAGTCTTCTTGCATAGCGACCTGAGAAACTGAATGTCATTCACGTCGCGTCTTGCACGAACCTCAACTCTGAACCGATAATGTGTGATGCTTGACAGTCAATCTATGCTTGGGATGATGACCCACTTGGACAGTCCGTGCAACCCGTCTTACTCACGCACAGACAGCTATCTACTGCAAGACGATCCAGGCCCACAGTGGGTCTACTCCAAGGTTACCACAGGGTTGGTGCAGCGCACGGAATGGCGGACATCCGGTATAATGATCACGATGGATCTACGCAGTCGTAATGAAGGAAGAGATGAGCTTTATCTAACGAGCCAATGAATCTGAAAGGAAGTCTTGAAAGCTCTAAACGTCAGGTTTTGAGATTGAGGAGCGTGAACGTTGTTGCATCGGGCAAAACCAGGTCTCTGATAACAATGCATCGCGCGACAGCTGAATGCTTATCATTCTTGGGTTCGTATAAGTGATGGCAATTCGACAAGGTAGATAGCAAGCAACAACCACGATGACCGTAACAGTGACCCATTGAAAGCAATCTAAAATAGAAACAAAAGCCATAAGAACACGAAGATAGCTCCCGTACGATATGTTAGTTTCCCGAACTATTCTGAACCGCTAAATCGTCCTGCCGACTATCTCTGTGAGCATACTTTGCTAGCTGCTTTGTGGTATTGCGCAGTTGGCGGACTACGAACATGGGTTTGTGGGGGGTTGCATCATGGAGTCTTGGTTGGGATGTACATAGTAGGTTCGGGAGGAGATACCATGTCGTGAGAGGCAACCTTGGAGAAAGCACCGACGAAGGTGTGAAGCCATGAGAATATCATGAATTTACAATGTATGTGCTGCGTTGTTAGTGATGTTCCTCTACACAAATGATGGAGCAAGAAGTAAAGTCGTGAAATGCAATGTCCAGATGATTTCCCCCCCTCCATAGGCGATTATCAGAACATATCCCTTGAAATAGGTGTTCGCCCTCTGATTTTCTGTTGTTGCATGGTCAATGTCGAAGTTGTGAATGAACGCTGCTCGGGAGAGAAGTTTGCCGGCTGAATAAAGTCCGACTCCCGGCTTGGCAGAAAGCTGCACCTCCCCGAGGTAAGCTGGCCTTGGACGGTTCGCAGCGCCCTACCTTTCACACTAACTCGTTATCGCTTGCGTTTTTGGTGATGCTTCTCTAGCAGAAGCGACTCACTATGACGCTTGACGCAGCAGCCCGACCATGGATCATTGGGGCGACCCTTGGGCAGACAACAATGCCGACGACCAAAAGTCCCCGACGAAGAACGAGGTGACCGCACCACAGCCGCCTGCACTTGCTCCCGCACCGGTGCTATTAAACGGTTTTCTGGACGATGCTGGATGGGGCAACGAGGACGAGAGTTTTGGAGACTGGACTACGTCATCTGAGCAAGACACTACTGTCGCTGTACCTACGGACACGCGCATAGCTGAGCCGAGTCCGCTGAAGAATGAGCATGTGATTGAAGATGGACCGGGATGGGACATAGAAGAGAAACATGAAGATGGCCTGTCGCTGGAAGGAGACACGTGGGCTGCACAGACGGAGGACACTTCTGATGCGGACAACGTAGCTTCGGATACTTCGGACACGTCGACCACGATACAGCTGGATAAGGCTTCTGATGAAGCTCCAGTCGCTCCTTCGAACCGATTACAGCCCGATGACGACTCTTCTGCACGACCCTCTACGTCCCCGTCTGAAGCGAGCCGTCACGAGGCACCTCCCGAGTCGCCGCGAACCTCGTTCGAGGAAGAGACTGTAATTAAGAAACAGGCTGCAGAAGCAACAGAACCCGAGAAGGAGGTCCAGTCACAAGTAACGAACGACGAGGATAGCGAACCCGAGGTCGAAAGCTCGAGCAACGATAGTGCAGACGAGGAGTTTGGAACCTCCACAGAAGATACTCTATTGACAGAAGCTCCTTCTAGTCAGTCAAAGATCACACAAGACGCTGCGGGTGATACAAAAGAGGCCTTATCAGAGCGCTCTACGTCTCGCCCTGGTTCGCCTGCGGCCTCCTCGAGTGCCGCCGCTGCTGCTGCCTCGCATAACGCTGGTGCATACGAACTCGACAAAACACTTCTTGACGAACTCTTTCCTCCTGATGGCGCTGCAAAAGAGCCAGAGGAGGCCCCAGACGACCCGGTATACTCAACGTCTGGGCGCAAAGCTTGGTACAGGTTGACGCGCAAGCAAACCATGAGAGAATTCAATAGCGGGAACGGGGACGACAACTATATTCGGGTCACATGGGCGGGTTCTGAGGTCAGATCGGAAGTAAACAAGACGGTAGCAAGATGGGCTCGTGAGGACCGTCTTTCTGGCACAGGTCCAGGAGCTAGAGCTTCGTTCTACTGGGACACACCAGCACCTCCAGAACCTATAAACCCAAGAGGACATTTGCGCACGAAGACGTCCGTTCCCACACCGCGAGTAATCGAAGCTGCACCGGCAAGACAAAGCCTTCCTCCTGTGTCTGCTGACACTCCGATCGCTTTCAACTGGAGTTCCACGACAACCACAACAGACCCTTGGAAGCAGGACAGTCCTAGCCTGCGCTCTATATCTCCACCTGTCGTGCCGAAGCCTACAGCTGTAGTCAATGCCCAGACACAGGAGCTTCGTGCGGTTTCGATCGACCTTGCACGCGACGTTGGGGTTACACAAGGGCAAACGTCGACTGAAACGCCGGCTGTCGCAACGAAAGCAATCCCACCTCCTGCGCCAACCACGACCTTAGCAAGTCCCTGGGAAGAGCTCAGCACTCCTCACACCAACACCCTCAATCAAGAACAACGTACCGATGTGCCTACAGATGATGAAGATGATTGGGGTGAGATGATATCAAGCCCTACAGTGTCTACTCCACCTTCAGCCTTCCCAAGTTCGATACCAGCGACGCTCGACAGCACTGTGTCAACTTCTGCGCCACTTCCCACGACTCCACCGACCCAGGATCGTTCAGCTGACGCAATGCATATTGTGCGCCTACGAAGCACCATATCGCCTACGTCGGCGATCTTTGGTCCGAAAAGTTTTGTTCCATTCAATGCTGAACAAGGGCCTATTGGACCTGGACGCTTGAAATCCGCTAAGCGGTCTACCACTGTCACACCTGAAAAGATCAAGATCGAGGTTTCGTCGAAGCCAGTTCGAAAGACTATTCAACAGCACCAAGTCCAAGTCGATACATCACCAGCACATGACACGCCCGATGCGAATGAAGTTGTTTCCAGCGAAGTCAAGATTGCGGAGTCTAATGACACGCAAGACGACGATTTCTCTGCATTCGCATCTAGTACCTTAGAACCAGAACCCGTCCGGCCGAGCACGCCGCCTCCATTCTCGGCGATGCCAAATGAGTCTACTGTAGATGCATGGGCGGATGCTGATTTCTCTTTCTTTGAATCGGCACCAGCGTCAAGAGTGCTTGCGCAGGCCACGCGCGATCCATCAGATCCTTTCTCAGTTTTCGAAACCCCTCCAAGGCCTTCCAGTGTCGCGTCTTCAGCGAAAACTTTCACACGATCTTCACCCCCACGGAATGTAACTCCCCCGTCGATTCAACCGCTGACTGGAGCTACGAACTCTGCACAACGAAGGAAGAACGAGGAAGAGCAGGTAATTCAAAACATTGTAGCAGGGCTGCCGGACTTGAGTTACATGCTACGTTGATGCTATTTCATGTTTGCACGGATGTATCGTTGCTGTTCTCTGCATATTGCACGGCGTTTTCGGGTGCTTGGATATCCATGATGGTCTCTGCATTGTTGAAAGAGTCACAGGATGACATGAGAAGACCTTTCTTCCGTATATACTCAATCTTCATCATATGATCGTTGCTCATAGTCTCCGTGAAACACTGAACCGTGTGCTTCTTTTTTTTCACATATTCCCTGTGCTACTTGGCACATACTTCGCCTCCGTTTGCATTTCGAGTGCTAGAGTCTAATTATTCCATTGCTATTCTCCTTGTTGTCACTTACTAGGCAGCCGCTGCCATTAGTTGTTGAGTGGATAGGTTCATTTCAAGGGTTGGCTCACCACTGTATGATAAACACCTCACAGACCATCTTTTCTTCCAAATCTTCTTCCTCAGCGCGAGCACTACTTGACTACCCAGGGTCAACCGCTTACGACCTCGACCTTGACCATTGAATCCCATCACGGACTTGAACGAATCACGATGCCTAACCGCGACGGCTATGGTCGTCGATATGAGCTTGTTCGCCGGAATGGTCGGAATTGTATTCTACGGAGAAGTTGCTCTCATGGCCATGGTCGTCAACCTTTGCCCATGGGATATTCCAGTTACGACCCCGACTACACAGACAACATGCTTCGGCAAGATCAACTACGTGTTCTGGCCGCCGCATCCTACTTAGAAGACTGCACATATAATCTTCGCATTGTAGCTTGGTCTAGATATCCCCAACTAACTCCTTACGATTTTGGATACCATGAACAATATTCTGCAGTCGAATACCCCCGCCAAGAGGGTCACTCTTGGAGCGCCAGCCTGTCCCGGAACTCCACCACTCCAGCTGCCTCTAATCATGGTCACAATGCGCGCCGGAGCACCGTCCCTAGCCCCAGCCACAGTGTCAACGTACCTCAGAACACTACGACCATACCTAACCACGATCGTGAAGCATCCCATAGCATAGTTATGGATACCAAACACAACGATGATGTCGCAGAGCGCTATCCTCACATCCGTGAACATATCCGTCAACATCCTCGGTTCTGGGAGGCGGTATTCCTTGCGGAGAAAATTGGGAAGTTCCAAGAGGGTGATAGGGAGTTGGATTCCTATAAGACGCGCTTAGACCAGATCATTAAGGAAATCAACAAGGATATCAGGGAACAACATGGCTTGTGCTAGCGATCAATTGTAAGATTGGGGAAGATGGGAGTTGATTTGTTCAGTGTGTAAGATCTGATGGGTATGGCGCTTGTCAAACTTTCGGAGAGGCACGATTGTTATAGACGTAAACAATTTGTCTTCTTTGGTCAGGAGGTTTCAGTGTAATGATGCTATGGTGATATATGTTGAATATGACTCTGTTTGAAAGCTCTTTGATTGTCGCAAACTACCGTGTTTCAAACGATTGTTGATCTCTCGCGCAGACTGTTTGTCCTTCGTCCTGTGATGTAGCGAGTTACTAGTGGCACGAAATCACTGTTCTTCACCTTCACCTTCCATCTCCCCAGTTCAGCTAGTGAACTGATGAGGATGTTGCAATTTTCTTTATCGTTCACTATCACACGAGTTACCACCGTGCGGTCGCGATTGCCGTTTGCTCTAGTGTGGCTTCTGGCTGAGCTCAGAAAACACTGCGACTTCCCAACTCGTGTTTCCGTCTCCCAAGTTCTCTTCTGCGCCGGCAAAACCTAGGTTAGACGCACAAACGCCAGCATGGACGCAACCTCCTCCGAATTGATCCACTTCGTTGTCGTTCCGGTCGAAACTGTAATGGCTTGCATCTATGTACTGGTCAACGTCGTCTCATCCCTTCCTGCCGATATACTGGATATCCATCAGGACCATCAGGACGCTCAGCGCCTTCGAATGCTCATTGCCAATGGTAGAAGCTTGATCTACGACATCGCATCATGGCCTCTTGTTGTACAAGAGAATTCTCTCAAGCACCGCACAATCAGCGAATTACATGAAGTCGCGTCGGTCTGGCTAGAGCGTTCTCTATTCAAACAGAATTTTGATGAACTCAGAGAGTATTTAGAGTTGCTACATGGCTTCTCCTCCAACGGCATAGAGGTGAAGGAAGATGGGACTATGGAGAATGCTTGGACCGTCCTCCTCAAGCAGGATGAGACAAGGGACTGGTATAGTTCTTCGTGCCATCAGATGGAATTACTCAAGTACTCAGGGGAAACATGCTACAATATCACCGGTTCTTGACTCTATTCACGTCGATGCGAGAACAGGCCCCAAAAAGGATGTTTGCGAAGGGTTTTAGTGGAGAGTATCAGGAACGTACCTTAGGTATAGAGAATAGAGATATGTTGCTACAGGCTGAGAGCCTAAGCGCTGTCGGTAAGTGCATCAAACTCCCCTCGAGTTTACATGGCTAACTGAGGCTAGATGAGTCATCCACCGTCATCATGAATACTTCGTCGGCTTCTCGTAGTGTCTCCCTGGCCCTCACTGAGCACCCGGACAACATCGCCAGCGATATTACTGAGCAACAGGCTGTCCTTCCACCAACCCTCAAGTACATCGCCATCATTGAGACCAATACCGACAAGGCCTTCTTCAATTTCGATCCCTCAGACATTAACGAGAAGAAGCGGGAGATCCTTAACAGTGCGAAGGAAATGTGTACTCGGATGGTATCTAAAGGCTACGGAGGCAAAGTCAAGCTGCAAGACATCATGGACATCGCTGTCGACATGGCAAAGTAGTGACAAGCGCGCAAGAGGCGGGAACTGGTCGAGATACGTTAGTATCCACAGTGTTCGCAAAAAAGCGAGGGATGGTACTGAAACGAAGGCTCAATGAGATTGCGGGACTTCGAGGCGAAAACAGGGCTGCGTAGTTACGCTGGAAGGCCGCAGTCATCACAGATCCTTCACATAGCTGGACAGGAAAATCAAGTAATCATAACATGAACACTCTGATTTGAGCGACGTAGTAAACTTGCAGACATGCTAAGTAAGTAAATAGATTGGAGATTGTGTCAGTTTGTCAAAGTTCGGTACGCTTTCAAGTGCTCAGGTCCATCGCATTGCCATCATCTCCTCCCCTCAACCCAAAGCACTCGTCCAGCTTCTCGATCGTATTCTGTCTCAATTCTTTTGACGGCCAGCCTTTACCTGGCATTGTTACTTTTTTATCTCTTCTCAACTGCCTTGGGATCGGGACATTCTCCCCAGTCTTCTCATCTACCCACCCATAAAGGACAAAGTCTAGGTAGTGCTGCTGCACATTGAGCCCTCTTCTCACACCCTCAGTAATGACCATATCTACAGCATGCATCATTTGTATGCCGTCCTCATGCCAGCCTTCGAGACTCAGTAGACCCCATAGCTCCTCTGGAACGCCGGTATCGCCTTCATCTTCAAGCCAGGGATGTGCTTCGACGTCAAGATCTTCGTTGAGGTACGTCTTCACGACGATGTCGCTCGTGTTGTCATAGTCCAACTTCAACTTTCCGCTCAGCACTTTCCACAGCGTTTCCAAACTTCTCTGGCCAAGCAGCAGCAATCCTAGCTGACAGACGCCATTCCCGAGAATCGGGTCAGAGAAGCGCATGTCGAGCTTGACGAAGAAGAGCTGGATGTTGATGATATCGATGTCCGTCCAGATATCCGCGTCCTCGAGGAACGAAAGACGCAATTTTGTAGTGTTCAACTCCATGAGACCCCAGAACTTCATCAGCGCACCCTCGCAGTTGGCTGGTACGCGATGGCCTTCCAAACTGAGTGTTGTGAGAATACTGCGTACAATCTTCTGGCGCCAGAGTATCATGCCCACCCAGCGAAAACCCGGTACATCGCGCGCCAGCCATTCTCGTCCGTCCATGGGTCTGAGCATAGGGTCTGAAATGCATAGTCGTGGATACAGTACCCAGCTGAAGATGTAACCTGCGAGCGGCGCATGATAGCGAGCATAGTCGTGTATCAGGGAGACACTGTATAGATTTAAGCGATAATGAAACTCTTTGTCGATGGCATAAAGGTCGATGATGGAAGGGTAAGGCAGGCGGAGCGCAAACTGGAAGAAGAGGTTCGGATGTCGAAGGATAGCCTTGTAAACGCTGAAAGGCTGTTTTGGGGCTGGTGCATCGGCGAAGGCTCGGAGTGAAGTTGTAGAAGGTATTTCAGGGCCCCATACTTCAGTAGCGACATTGCGATGGCGGTGTTGATGGCGGCGGAGGATGCGGGGCGCATTACTGTCGATCTTGGATGGCTGTTGGGGTCGGCCGGTAGCTGGAGGACTTTCGTCTATTGCGCGCTTGTTCTTGCCTTTCGAACTCGGCGAGCCAGTATACATCGACATTGGGCTCGGTGGACGCTGCATGGCCGTAGGGGAGTTGTGTTGCTACTTGTAGAGGCTAGAAGAGGTCATACTCAGATAGCGTTGAGCATGAAGTAAGTAAGACGTTGCACCCACCTTCGGTAGGTCAGCTCTGTAAGGATAGCGATGTGCTCACTATAGTAACTGCTAGCGTAGTGACAGTGGAGAATACGAAGTCACTCTACACATAGAAACAATAGTAGGCCTCAGGCAACCATCAAATAAGTCATCATGTGAGAATGAGTGAAGGTGAAACTGAAAATCGTATTGCCTTCCTTACAGCCTGGATACATGTAATGGTCTCCTAGGGCGCTCTCGACGCATACAGTCCGTCGCACTGTTGCTAGCACGCGTGTTGAGCTCCTCTCTTCTATGGCGACTCTTATCATCATAATCCATGAATGCTGTGCGGAAATCAACACAAGACTTAGGTGAGTATGAGGTTGTACTTTGACAGGAGGAAGGAGGGAACACATTGATGTGGTAAAGGAATGAGAGACGGGCGATGGACTTGACAGGGATGAAGCGGCCACGCGTCGACGTCATTGGTTGGCTCGTGCTTTGTTCGACCCCCGCCTCGGCCCCTCGTTATTGTCCCTGCATATTCTGATAATTTAGTTGGTCCAGGTGAAATCGCGTTTCTCACGTTACACAGCAACCATCTCGCCAGATCTCACGACGTTAATTCACAGTCGCCAAATACGAACAAGTACGTCCGCCAGCAGTATCTCCCAACATCCCTTCAACCACACGCTTTGTTGCCCTAGCAGGTATTGATTGAGGGTATCCAGGACCGCTCAGGCAACAACGATCTGTCAATCGAACCGACGCGAGTACTTCCCGTAGCAGCGAGCCATCTGCATTGCCACATACGAAAAGCTTTGCCATTTCATAGTACCGCGCTCGCCATGGCGTCCAACCTTTTGGGCACTGCGAAATCGACGCTGCCCAACGAACTCGCTCTCTTAGTCATCGATCATCTCGAAGACAACAACAAAACACTATGCGCTCTTGCTCGCACTTGTCGCGGTATGCAACATCTCGCCGAAGAGCGACTCTACAAGCGAATCGAGCTTCTCTCCGTAAAGAACCTTCATGCCATCATCGAGGCCTTCACATTGCGTCATGAACGCGTGCGTGCCGTGCAAACACTCAAGATTCTCTATCAATACAAGGACAACAGTCTGAAGGACAGTGACGAAATAAGGACAACCTTCAACGAGTGCGTGGCTCGCATGGTCAACCTGAGGGAGTGGCATATTGAGAGCCCTTACGACAACTTCCACTGGGAGGGAGCTGGTGGCGAGGCTTGGGTTCATGGAGACATGCAACGTTTTCGCCGCGCGCTTGACACAGCTTGCGTTGATGGTCCAGTCGAGGCGAATAAGATCATGGCGGAGCGACGGTTGGGAAAACATGTCGAGCGCACCGTCGGCCTGGGTCTTCTTGAGAGCTTGACTATCCATTCACACGGCGCTGATACTGACTTCTGGAACCTCGAAGGCTTCCATTGCCTCTTCCGACACCCTGCGCTCAAACATCTTCACATCTCCTGTGTTGCCTTCCCGGCTTCTGACATCCCTGAACTTGCGTCGCATACCCGACAAACCCCTCTGACTTCTCTGGTCTTTGATGAGTGCGTGCTGCAGCCCAAAAGCTTGCTCAGTATATTACGTACGCCGGCACGACTGAAGACGCTGACTCTCGGTGAAAACGTCTTCAACGTCAACCGATCTAGACAAGTCAAGCCCGTACTAACCAAAGATCCGTGCGGATCGCTGCAAGCTCTCTCCGCAGTCGCACATTCGCTAGAAAGCCTCACGCACCTTAATCCCGGCTGGCGCATTGATAGAAGCCCCCACGTGCTCCGCAGCATACGACCACCTGGCGATGGCATGCGTGACTTCCACCTTCTCACATATATGGAATGCGATACAAACTCCTTTCTACATCAGGCTATCGTAATGAACCGCGATCTAGCGCCACCTGGTCTGGAAACACTTCGTGTTCGCCGGCATTGGGACGTTCCTATCGACTTTTGGGATCAGCCGCCTGACTTTGATCACTATGCTGCGCTACCGTCTCTCAACACACTAGAATTGTTGCAATCATCCTATCTCTGGTAAGTTTGACAGAATCAATCAAAGTTCGTTCTAGATCATGCACTGACTTTACCTAGGCTCGACTTGTCCGACACTGATTACATCTGCGACGATGAGCGCCTCCGCAATCGTCATGCAAAAGCATACAAGCTATTCAAGGCTGGCATCAATCTCAAGATGTCAATAGAGCTGCACAAAAGCCCTAGCCTGATACCACCATATCTTCATGACGAGCCCATCCCAATCGTCGAATGCGTGTACGATGCGAGCGTTGTCGGCTTCCACCGCCACATAGTTCACGAAGAGGCAGAAGAAGGCGCGCGGATAGCACCAGAGTCTACAAACGAAGCACCCGAGACGGATCAACTTGGTGACGCGGACATCAATAGATTACGTGGAGAGACGCGACGCACTCTGCACGTCCTCAAGCACAGGTTCGTAAAGCCTGGTCGCCGACTCGCGTTCATGGACATGTTCGATTCCGATGATGAAAGTGTGGAGCACGTTGGTAGTGACGACGACTTTGAGGTTGACGATCTTGACGAGGAGGACGACATGGAGCTTGATCTTGAGCTAGACAACGACGGACACTTTGTCGATGAAGACGGCAATCACGTGTTTGAAGAAGACGGAGAGCTCTATGTTACAGTGTGGGAGACAGCCAGTGAGGACGAGATGGACGAGACTGAAGACGAAGATGATGATGAGATGCATGACGCGGTGGAAAGTCAACAGCAGCCTGCCAATGATGATGTAGACTAAGACGTTGCTGTGGGAGCGTCTGTAGCTACAATCCTATGTAATGTCCTCTGTAAACGAATGAACGCCGGGTATGTATGAATAGATCGTAGGAAAATTATGCGCTGCCAGGGCGTCAGGATAGAAGGGAGAATCAGAACCTGTTACGATATATTAGCTTTCAATCGCGATCTCTCAAGAACAGATCAAACTTACCTGGAATGAATCCTCATCGTGCGCACCCGAGGTACTGTGACGAGCAATACGCGTTTTCCCTATTTGAATCGTTAGCATTCTATTCATGGTCTAATTCCTTCTTTCCTAATCCGGTATCCCACCCTGCCTTACCACCTAACAACATCCCCAGCCACATGCTTGTGCCCTAACGTACCTTGTCAGATAACTTCCATCTGCCTTGGCTCTCCTAGTCTCCAGAAGCGGTGGCACAAAGGGAAGTGCAAGAGCAGATACTACGTAGGTTGTTGCGAGTCCAGCCTTGATGCGGTAGTGCGGATCGCGAGGTACGCGTGTGGAGTATTGCCGAATCTGGGAGAGCGCGTGTGTTGAGATGGCCATTTTGTATAATATGAAGAACAAAAGACGGAGAAAAGTATTCGGACTCGATAGAGAACAATATGTAAAGTGTTGTAGCCTGGTAGTGTCTTTGTTTCGTGGTTTGTAGCTGGTTGATCAGCCTTATGAAGTTGGATGTGGGGCCGCGATGTGGTTCGGTGGTTTCGGCCTCGGTGGGGTCTTGGTCGCGTGCTTGCTTTGAACTATGTGTCTAACACACTTTTTTCGTCATCAGAGAGTTAGCAAAGCTTGAGGGAAGACGGCTCGACAATGTTGGGGATATAAATATGTCTCAACGTGGCTGCCTAGTAGGGCCTCGTTTGCAAGGCCTCAGCAAGGGGGAACAAAAGGTACTCACACTACGGCCGCGGCTGGACTCCACGTGGAGATGAGCGCTGTATGCAAGCGGCGTCAAGTGTGGGTAGGCTTTTGTGGAGTGCGGTTAAGGCTGCCTCGACGCTAGGAATTGTTTGCGTGCTTAGATGTTGCTTTGAAAGCGTGCTTCCGGGCCCGGCTTACAGACGTCTTTCTAATATACTGAGGCACGTTGAGAAGATGGATGAGACGGTCATAGACAATTTTCAAATAATATTAGTGTCTTCTTCTTGATGTTTGTGCGGAATGCTCCATAACACGATTGCGCCTAAGGGTTCGAGAATCCCTTCCGGTCTGGGCGATCCAGATCACACCACAGTCGTGCGAGTACGCGCGAGCTGCTGCCCTGCCACGGTAGAGGCTTTTACCGGAATATGGGGCACGTGTCTTGGCGCCCAACAGCGCATTGGTGAGCAGTTGGTCACGACATCTCTAGTCCAAGTCACGAATCGGTAGTTTTGCGTAGAAAGGGGTGTTTTTAACGTGTCAGCAGCAACTGATAGAAGCTGATTGGTAGATGGGTGCGGCAGGGGTTCCGCGCAGCCTCGCCATGACTTCTCTTTCTGATCTCTCGCAACGTCGCATCTAGATCAGCAATAAGTTATGATTTGCCTGCCCGGTAAGAATTACCAGCTACTTTTCATTCGACCCGCCGAACTCATGCATGGCGTACACAAAGCTTGATTCATCGCGCTGCATTTGAAGGACATTGAACTTGTCGAAAACAGGACTGTCATTATCCTATACATAAACTTACTCACGGTAAGACATAGTAGGTTTTCATCTCATAATTTTGGTTTGCTATCATCACCGTCGATGGCGACACAGCTCATAATACAAATTTGCATAATTCTCGAGGAATCGCTCTGAGGCTGCGTGAAAAGAGAAGAACAGTATCTAAACGCGATGAAGCTACACTGTTTTGAAGCATGCAACGAAAAGAAGAGGACCGCGATAGTAGCACAGCTCCTACATCCTTGGCTATTCGCTGCATTTAGTTACGACGACCGAAACGATCATAGTTGAACAGCCGTCCACCACTTGGTCTACCACCACCCCCACCACCACGCGCACCCCCACCACCGTACGGATGCTGAGGAGCATAATACTGACGCTGTCGAAGGTCTTCGTCGGGGTCCGACTCATCATCGTAGTAGGCTTGCTGTGGTGGTTGGCGACGAGACGAGCCATGACTACGTGGGTACTCTTCGTACCGCGAAGCGTACTGGGGACCCTCACGGCCCATGTGTGGGTAGCTAGACTCCTCTCGTGCAGACGTGTTATATCCACCAGCTGGATTGCCGCCAACTCGACGGCGGAAGGGATTGTCTGCGCGTGTTAGGCCAGAGAACATGAAGCCTCTACCGCCACCCCCACTGCGTGGAGGTCGTTGGTGGCTATACCCGCTTTGAGCATTGTCGCCGAAAGGCTCATGATGTTCCTGATACTGTTGACCTTCTGGACGCGAGGAATCGTAGGAGGAGAAAGATGAGTAGCCCCCTCGGCGAGGGTTGCCACCGCTCATTCCGCCCATCGGACCCATAGGACCTCCACGTCCCATCTCACCACCACCCATGCCACCCATACCTCCCATCAGGCCTCCCATCGGGCCACCGCGTCCCATGCCGCCACCCATACCACCGAATAGGTCGCTGCCACCACCAAAGAAATCGTCACCGCTTGAGCCGCCGAAGGGATTCATCTTACCGAGTATTGGAAATATTTGGATTGGGAAAGATTTCGTTGGCGACGAGTTCAAAGCGTAAGAGTGTCGTTGTGTTCGTCTTTTTTCTCAACTTGACTGTTGTAGGTCGTGCGTTGAGCTGACCTGCTGTGTGTGGTAGATGAGAGTGTAGGAGTAGGTAAGGCATAGCTGATATAGTATGAGAGCAGCGGTATTCATGTGTGAAGATAGCTTGCTGCGATGCTTCACAGAGAGACCAGGTATGCTGACCGTTGGAGAGTGAAACAGAGCGAATCGTGGTCAAACGCGCGTGTGGTCGATTAAGATGCAGTTCCGTTTAGTGAATACACTTGCGCCCTGAGCGCAAGGCGAATGTTGAGAGACATTAGCATAGTGCAGAGTATAGGCGGCGTCAAAGCATCCGTTCAAGACGCCTGGTGAAAGCAGAGCTTGGTATCCAATTACGTTCATTATTTTTGATTGCAGTCATAGGTAAAAGGTTGCGCGTGTACAAGGTAGATTGAAGAGTCGTGGATATGGTTGACTTAAGTTTCGGGAGCTTATTTTAGCGTGGGAAAACTTGTGGGCTAGGCTCTTGCGACTGAGGTGCATCGTCCCCTTTGTCTACACCGCAGCGGCGGTGATATACCCCTCACGTCGTCCGAACTACCATATCCGCGTCTGTTTAAATCACATGATAGTCTTTGCCTATACCGAGGTGTTGTTAATTGACATCCTAGTAAATACCGAGTGGGAATGCAAGATCACCGAACAAGGGGACTGGACACGTACCACTACCGAGGGATGATCCCACAACCGCCCGACTGTAAAATCTGGGGAAACCCCTCAGCATAACATTTGCGATAGACGACTCGTGTCTTGGGCGAATGCGCGTACATATCTCTGTAAGGAAAGCCCGGACGGAAACATCATAGTCCATGCAGCTGTCTAGGTGAGTACATGGCACATAAGCTTGATCACATGGTAATCGTAAGAGCGCGTCATTGCATTTGCTCGAAGGAGCTGAGTATCTACGCAGGTAGCTCTCAAGATAATGCGCCCCAGTTTTGCAACGCCTAGAAATCACCCTTGCTTTTGAAAACATCGGTACCGCTTCTCGGCATTGCATCCAGGAGTAAACAGCGCTGTTCATCCCGTCCCTTGTCAGCGATGCCGTAGCATCGTGAAAGAACCATCGTTTCACGACTTCGTCACAACTTCCAAAAATCTAGCTGTTCTCTCAAATTTTCTACAGGCGATCTGATGTTCCATCGCAGCGTTGCACCAAGTTTTGCTGAGTCCGTTCTAGCCTTCCGGGGATGCATACATTATCCTTACGCTTAACAGGCAGACTAACCAGCATCACGCTGGCTGCCCGTCACGGGAACACATGCAGCCCAATCCCACCAACTATCTCTCGCTCCTTATTACCTCAACCCACCGGGGATAGACGATGCCAACCGCCATTGTGCATGGATGTACTGTGACGCCGCCCCAGCGGCTCAACCTGCAACAGAATTCTGCCTCGGCATCAGAGTACCTATCATGCTAATACCATATAGGAACTTCTTCGGCATCACCATATGGAGATATCTCGGCAGAGCTCAGCGAATGACGTCTTCGAGGCCGTTGCGTAGCTCCATACTTCATCTCTACCCTGTGCTTTGTACCAGCTTATGCTTTGTGCTGATCACAAGCTAGCGCAGTGGAGGAACGTCTGGATCAAGATGTGTGGAGAACATAAAACCTATGGGGCCCCAATCTTCCCCGCCATCTCTCCACACTTTTTGATCGCCAGTGGTTCGCCCTAGGGTACCTACACGAGACATCAGAACACGCCTTTTCAGAACCACAGGCGGATATTGGCTGTCGCCAGCACGTCAAAATGGCAGATTCTTCTGTGGTTGCGGTTGCGCACCCTCGCTTCATGGGAATGCGAGGTAGAGCGCTGGACATAACAGTTTCCATCATTGCGACGACTGGTTTCCTGCTTTTTGGATATGACCGTGGGTGCAAGACACCACTACTAGACGATTGGATGTGCTAACATTCGTACTACAGAGGGTGTCATGTCTGGCATCATTTCAGCGGACCCATTCATGAATTACTTCCCAGAAACTCTGCACAACTCGACTTGGCAAGGGTTCGTGACCGCGGTGAGTAATTGCGATAGCTCTCATTCTAGATTGAACCCACACTGACGTTTTTCAATCTTGAACCCAACAGATCTACGAGATTGGCTGCTTGTTCGGAGCCATAGCAATGCTCATTTTTGGTGACGCGCTCGGGCGACGGAAAGGAATCATGATAGGCGCTGCGACTATGATCGTTGGTACCATTATACAAGTGACTGCTTTCAAGGGCCATAATGCCACCGCACAGTTCATCATCGGACGCGTTGTCACTGGTGTTGGCAATGGCATGAACACTGCTACGATTCCCACATACCAAGCCGAATGCTCCAGGACGAAAAACCATGGTCTCTTGATCTGCATCGAGGGCGGAGTCATTGCCTTTGGTACGCTCATCGCGTACTGGGTGGATTATGGATGCTCGTACGGAAGCGACAACTTCACGTGGCGCTTCCCTATCGCTTTCCAGATCGTTTTCTGTATTATTCTCTTGGCTGGCATGACCTGGCTTCCAGAGTTAGTATACTCCCATATCCAGTGCGAGGAACATACTAACCTCCTCCACCCGTTCTAGGTCGCCACGTTGGCTTTTGACCAAGGATCGGCACGAGGACGCAGCCAAAGTGATTGCGGCGCTCCGTGGGCATGCTATTGATGACAGTGAGACACGCTTCGAAGCCCACATCATCATGGACAGTATCCGCGCGTCTGGCCACAAAGGAGGAATCACACCATTCAGCGCCCTCTTCACAAACGGGAAAACACAGCATTTCCGACGGATGATGCTCGGCGCTTCATCGCAGCTCATGCAGCAGATTGGTGGCTGCAATGCGGTCATTTACTACTTTCCTCTTCTCTTCGAGAACTCAATCGGCGCTTCGCATGATCTGTCGCTGTTGCTCGGAGGTATCAATATGATTGTCTATTCGATCTTTGCGACTACATCTTGGTTCATCATAGAACGCACTGGTCGTCGCAAGCTCTTTCTGATCGGTACCTGGGGCCAAGGCTTGTCCATGGTTCTGGTGTTCGGCGCCCTCATCCCGGGTACGCAAACTGCAGCGAAAGGCGCAGCTGTGGGCCTATTCACATATATTGCATTTTTCGCAGCGACATGGGTAAGTCCTCGATGTACGAAATCCTATGTGAGACATGCACTGACTTGCACCACCTTTACAGCTTCCACTTCCATGGCTATACCCAGCAGAAGTAAACCCTGTAAAGACGCGTGGCAAAGCAAATGCCATCTCGACATGCACCAACTGGTTGTCAAACTTCATCGTCGTCATGATCACGCCTATCATGATTGATAACATTGGGTGGGGCACCTACGTTTTCTTCGCAGCGATGAATGCGTGCTTCTTGCCCTTTATCCATATCTTCTATCCTGAGACCAAGCAGCGAAGCTTGGAGGAGATTGACCTTATCTTTGCCAAGGGCTTTGTGGAGAACATGAGTTATGTGAAGGCTGCGAAGGAGCTGCCTTTTTTGGATCCCGTTGGCATCGAGCAAATGCAGAGAGAGTACGGTTTCTTTGATGACGACACTCTTGAGGGCGGAAAGGATGTTGGAGGGTTGGAAAAGGGTGAGGAAGCGACTGTTACTGAGACTCCACGTATTTGAACATATCGTCTCTGCCAGAGCGAGCACTAGCAATATCGGTTGAGTTGGAACTTGGTCTCGAGGTTTTTTTTGGCTTCACCAAGGTGTCTGACAATACTCAATCACAAAAACTCCAAGCCATAAAGACACCGCGAGACTGCAAAATTTGAAACCAAAAGATGAAGAAGTAGTCTTTTGTTCACTCTTCGTCCTTCTCTACTTATCTCCTCTTCTCCGTATGTAACTAAAAGGGTATATACATTGTTGATAAATGATGTAAATGGACCAGCCTTTGATTTCTCGCGCGTTTTGCGTCCAACCTCAATCGGTCATGTAGCATTCACTGTGCTTGCTCTTCCTTCACTCATTATCAATCGCTTAGCTCAAGAACTTGAGAGCGCGCTTGATCCTGTTGCCGCCACGGTTGCCTTGGCCCTGGCCTCCCTGGCCCTGGTTCTGGCCCTGGTTTCCACGGCCATTGCCTTGACCCTGGCCTTGGCCCTGACCTTGACCATTCTGAGCTGCGCCTTGGTTCTGCTGGCCTTGGCCTTGGCCTTGGTTCTGGTTCTGACCTTGACCCTGACCTTGGTTGCCGTTCTGGTTGCCCTTGTTGCCATTGCCTCCCTTGTTGCCGCCGTTGTTGCCGCCGTTGTTGTTGCCGTTTCCAGCATTGGGAGCCTGAGTCGCATCAGGGATAAGAGCTGGAAGAGATGTTAGTTCCAAGTTCACTACGATAGAAATGCGACAGATGAAAAATCAACGCACCGGAAATGGCACTGGCACCCTCATTACCGCCCGCAGCACCAGCAGCCTGGTTCGCCGCGATAGCAGCAGGAAGATCCTTCTTGTTTTGCAGGATTTGTGCAGAGATACCCTCAAGTGTCTGAGCAGTGTCGACAGCTAGCGGCAGTGAGTATGGATACAGGATAGGGCAAATGCTTTGTAATGATAACGGAAAATGTGAAACTTACCAGAAGCGCTCTCGTTGGTACGGCCAGTTCCGTCAGTCTGCTGGACGGCGAAGCATCCACCGAAGGGACCGGCGATGGCGTTGTTGCGGCATCGAACAGTGCAGATGTTGCCAGTTGAGGCACCGAGACAGTTGAAGTTGTCAGGCATCTGGACGTTGATAACAAAGTCCTTTTCCTTTGCCTGAGAGAGACCGAAGCTACCAGGAATGTTGTTGGATACCTTCAAGGGTGTGAAGGTGGTCACGGCGTTGCTAGTCTCGTCCATGTCGCACTCGAATGGACCGGCGCCATCTGCATTAACTTGATGGATGGT